CCCACCAAAGAATATGATATAGCAGAGGCCTGACCTTCCTTGAAATTCACTTATGCCCTGTGACTCAAGGCTATTCGTGGCAGTGTAGCCGAGTGGCTATCGTGTCAAGCTACCGTCCTGCACTTTCGCGGTTCGAATCCCGCTGAGGGTGTTGATAAGACTAATGCGAGGTCGAAACTGCAGTCCAATCAGGATGAGAACTTTTGGGAAAGCAAGGCTATGTGAAATTCAATGGAAACGTCAGCTTAACTCATATCATTGTGGAAAAATTCTACTACCAGTCCTGCATCACCTTACACGAAATAGGATGAATACATCTCATTACGAAGAACTAGCAGTTGAATTGGCCTAACGGCAAAAGGATTAATTAAAAATATTTATTTTTGCGTAGAATCGATTGACCGATCAATTATGCTAGCTTTGATTCGATGTTTATGCTTTTATCGGCATGCTTGCAGATGAGTCAAGTGGATACAGATGATGCCAAACATATTTTTACATAACAAAATAACCTAAATTTTAATCCTGCTCTATTGATGCCTACTCTATCTCAACTAACTAAATTAATCGCTTACTTAAGGTTTTGTGAAGTCTTATTAATTTCTACTAATCCTAATCTTCCGCTTATAAATGAAGTCTCCCAATCCTTAAAAATGACGGGGTTCAAATAATGATATCGGGATATATCTAATCGTCATAGACTCAACAACCTAAGATTAATGGACCTATATACTTTAATATGAGATGTATTCAACCTATTTGGTTTGAGGTGATGAAAGGCTGGTAGTAGCATTTTCTCACAATGATATGAGTAGAGTTGACGTTTCCATTGAATTTCACACAGCCTTGCTTTCCTAAAAGTTTTTCTCATCCTGGCTGGGATGGATTGCAGTTCCGACCTTGCATAGGTCTTATCAAAAACCCCCAGCGGGAGTCGAACCGTGACAATGCAGAATGTGAGCTTGACACGTTAACCACTTGGCCACATTGCCATGAGTGCCCTTAGGTCACAGAGCAAATGTGAATTTCAAGGAAGGTCACACCTTTTCCCATATCACATTCTTTGGTGGGATTGTAGATGAAACAAACGGGTCCGAAAAATCTCGACAATAGGCAGAGACAAGAAGGTTATTAGTAGTCATTTGGCCTTGTTTTTGCATATTGTTCAATTTGGCAGGAAGACCCATAGGAGTTCACCTTGTCTGGAGTCCATAGTATGCATGGTGATATCCAGATTCTGACTGTGGACGTTTCACCGGCATCGTCAGTCTTGCCATTCTCAGCACCAAATCTCAAATCATCAGAAACAAGTAAGTCGATCTCTCGACCAACTTTCTGCCGAAATGGTTGCGCCAGCACTCCTCTTTTTCTTCTATCCCCTCCGTTCATTTCCTACCCTCTTGTCTCGCCCTCGTCCCAATACACTTGTTTATATTCCACTTATCAAGAGCTGTGGCATCATCACAACTGCTGTTTGCCTGGCCCCATTCCTTTCGAGTGGCTGATCTCACTCGGGCCTCCTGTTCGGATCTGCCTCATGGGCCTGTAGATCCGTTTCTTATCTTTATTGTTGACTGATTGCACTCGGTTCCAGCCCCACTGTACTTCAGGTGTTAGTTCTCAAGCCTCCACTAATACGTACAATGTCGCCTCATTGAAATATCGCCTAAGGTCTCATTCTCATTCTTGCTTATATTAAGTATTGCCTTCACGCATCATTCCCTCCATTAAACCCGTGTACCCTGAGCAAACTTTGGACGTTTCGCTGGACGTCTAATGAATCTCGAGTGGATTATTAATTAATTTGGTCATAATACCCGGTTTCTGTGACCCAATCCCTCTCCCTAGTCGCGTGAACATTAGGATCTCAAAGTTGAAGTTGTTTCTTCGAGCAGACTACTCACTGAGAGCGTCTTCGCTTCATTTCCGAAACTTCCTCACCCTCTTCTTCCTTGCGATCCCTTCTCCTCTGGTTTACGACAAATCCTCGATCCAGGCTCGTCTTGATGTATCCTTGTTTTCTCCGAGTTTGATTAGACAATAGGCAAAGTTATCACTAACGCTGTCTTCTTCCAATTTACTGTTCATAACGTTTTTTCCCCAAGTATGTCAATGGCCTCCGTAATCTTCCGTTTCTTTGTGCTTTCACACTATGAGGCCCTTCTTCTGTTGCCTTCCAAATGATCTCGTGTCCAGTCTGTGTGATGTGTTTCGCTATATTCTATCTTTTATTATCCATTTCGCTGCATATCCTTTAATGTTCCTCGATTCGTGTCCTGATTTTTCTCCCTGTTTCGCAAAGATATTTTCGCTCCGAGGCGACTAATGCTGTGGTAAATTATCAAGCAATCCACTTTGTCTACCCTCTCATGCTGCGTGGGTAGACTAATGAAGTGATGTCTTTCCTTCGTGATCACCTGAATATTGCATTCATTTGATATTGGCCGTAGTTTCTGAGTTAGCTCGCGGGAAGGCAGGCGTATCTAATCTTGTGAACCTTCTTCAATCTTTGCCTTGCTTTCATAAAAACCCTTCTGTCATCGGCCTTTCACGACCAGTATGTTTCGTCGTACTACTTCTTTCGGGTATCCGTTGCCGGGGAATATCCAAGTCAACTTTTACGATTCTTCATCCCAGAATTCCACGTCCGTTAATCGTAGGCTTCTGATAATCATGTTCCTGAATATTCCTATCTTTATTCTGTAGTTGTGATGCGAATCTAAATTTAGTATTATTCCGGCATATGGCTTCTTTCGGCTACTTTCCTCTTAATTGTCCCATTCGAGCGAATGAATTGCACATCTAGGAAAGCAAAACGCCTCTCTTCCTCTGCATCCATTGTGAGCTTGATTCATTCATCAATCTGGTTGGCTAGCCTCAAGAAATCCTCCAATTTTTCTCTTCCATGCAACCAAATTGCAGAATATTCAACCAGGAACTGCATAAGTCATATACCGGTCAATGGTCCGGCTCTGGAAATTAGCACATCCGGACTAGGTGCGTTTCTCTAGGTCTTTCTGCCAATATGACCAAATTGCGAGAACGTGGTCAAATAACTACTCTAAATCGAAAGGAGAGTGCGACCAAAATAGAGGCCAAAATATCTTGGCCTTTGTGCATACGTTTAAATAAAGTTTTTACTCTCTATATATGTATAGTACCAATGTCCGACTTGCGCGGTAGTTTGCCGATCTTATATTAGCTCTAAACATGAAGGAGACAGGACGCTAGTAGTCTTTCAACTCGATGTCTTATCATAGAATGTTGTTCCTCTTCGTCCTACCTACTATAATTATAAAATAGACGACAATTAATCTCAATGAATAATTATTTTGAACCCAAATTTTCTCGAATATTTTGGCCTCTTATTCTTTATTATTTAAACCTGCTATTAACAGACGTCTTTGTTTAGATGAGGTAATAGCTCCTGCTTTTGCTTCAGTATAATTATTAAATAAATTAATGGAAATAACCGAAGATTCGAGTTTTCCAAACACATCCCTACCAAGCTTAGTTATTCACAAACTAAAGCGGGACAGCCTCTTGTAACACCATTGCAAATAATACGTAATGTATTCAGACTCTCTTTGTCGTATATTCGCTAATTTATGTAACTAAGAGTTTAGAAACTAGGATAGCAGATAAAATTAAATGTAAACAATCCCATAACTTAGTCTCATGTTTGAGGTTATTTTGGGATAAATGTAAAATAGGCTATATTTAATACTCGAAGGCATGAAGACCAAGATGTGTGTTCTTTTGTGTGATCGTAGTCCCCTTTTGCTGTATAGAAGTTGTTTTACCTTGTTTACTGAACTTGTTCATAATTGTAGGAAGACCTAGAGGAAAGCACAGTCCGGAGTCCATTGTTTGCATAATAATTTCCAGTCGGACAGCGGACGTGGTTCATTCCAGGACATTTCGCCGGCACCGACAGTAAGTATTGTCATTCTTAGCACCACACTACAACTCGTTAAAGAGATAAGTGAAGTCGATCCTTCGACCAATTGTCTGATAAACAATCGTGGTATCTCTCCTTCCCCCTTAGGCTAATCACCAATCCTATATCTTCTTATCACACCTTCAATAGCACAATTGTATACTTGCTTATTCAAATGTGGCATGATGTGACCTTTTGAGCGGATTTCATGAGCTCTCCACAATCCACGGTGGACTTCTCACGCCCTAGCCCTCCAACACCCTTGTGCTGGAGATTTTGATCGGAGTCAGTCCTGCCTCCCTAGGTCTTATCAGTCTCCCTATTGCCCCGTAGGATCCGACTCCTGTCTCACTGGTTCACGTATATTACTCGACCTCGGCCACCCCATCTAGGCGTTATTTCCCAAACTGCTTCATGGAGACTAACTTAAGGCTAAGGCTCCTGAGTAATTCTCATGGATAGGCATTTGCCTTATGGACCAAGTATATGGTAAAACAGGCCTACTGTCAGCCAACTAGCTCTAGTATCCATCACGTATATCCTGCTTTTATCCGTAATAGCAAATCTATGACTTCGCATGCCCTAGTTTCTTGTGTGGCAATCCATTAAAGTTGTGGTTCTTATTGTTTTGATTAGGCTCACTGAAGAAGTTTCCTCTTGGCTTCTGATTGTTTCTTTCTGGTCTCCTTGCGATGTCTTTCCCCAAAATTAAGAATGTTACCTTGATCTTACCGCTACCTGGTCTCCTCTGAATTTATCTAGACAATATGCAAAGTTTTCGCTGATCATGCCTTCTTTACGTCTCATGTTCATTAGATTTATTTCGATCAGTATATCGATGGCCTCTCATATCATACGTTTTGTCGTATTTTTACCATATGCAGCCAGCCTTTCAGTCGATTTCGTGTACCGTTCGTACAATATGCTCCGTAATTTTGGATCTTTCAGAATCCATGTCTTTGCAGTCTTTGGTGTTCCTTTAGTCGTAATCCGACTTCGTGTGTTGCGTCGACAGACTGGTGAAAAGCGTTGTCTTCTCCTTTGTTAACAGCTTGATGGGCAATTCAATCAGTAATAGTCGCAACTTTTGTACAGGCATATCGAATTTGGTCGTCCTGATAACTGATCAAATTTTCACAAAATTGGAGTTGAAATCTGCCCGTTATAAAAGCTACATTTTTTTCTATTAATTATCTGTTGTGCTTGTTACTAAGGCAAATACATGTCCGTTTGTCCAACTTCTCGTCCCTGAACTCAGTCTCCGTTAGTCGTAAGCTTCTGATGATCAAACTCCTCAGTATTCCGACCTTCAGTCTGTAGTTATGATGGAACTGAAAATTAAGGATTATTCCTGCATATGAATGCTTTTTATATTCTCTTCATGAGTGTCCCGTGTGAGCGCATGACTTCGATATCCAGAAAGGGTAGTCTCCCTCCACCTCCATAGTGAATTTAAATTTTCCTTACCATGTGACCAAAGTGCAAAGTAGTAATCAAAATGGTGATTTCTCGAATTCCCTTTCCAACTTGTCCACAAACATTTGCAAAAAGAGGTGAGAGTGGAGATCCCATCGGTAGTCTAAATATTTGATCGTAGATACTGCCGTTAAATGTTACTGTCATGTTGATCAATCGTGTTAACGATTCCTTCTATCTATCCTTCTATCCTGTTTCTATCTCTAATACCAAGTCTATGACTTCTCATACCCTAGCCTCTGGTGTGTCAACCCACAAATGTTGTGGTTATGCCTGCTTTGACTCGTTTCAATTTTGAACCACAACGTTAGTGGGTTGCCACACAAGAGACTAGGGCATAGGAAATCAGACTTTGTATCATATATAGAAAGAGGATAGAAATAGTGGAAGCTAAAGCTGGTTGGCAAACAATAGTTGTGATTCAAGGATCACTTCTATCATCAAACACGACCATTTTTAGCCAAATAGTTTTAGTCTCCATCCCATTTTTATCTGTGATACCATGTCAACCACTTCCTACGTCCTAGTCTCGTATCTTGCGTTTTCTCGTATTTTCACCATATC